GGGGAGAAATTTACCATACTAGGCAGTGAAGCTTGTATCAGTAATCTCATTTCTTTGCATATTGTCCAGTTAGAAAAACAGTAACCAGAAATGCTATGAGAAGAATAAGAAATTGACAGCATGATGAAGGCATGAGAAGGATAAAATGAGGAAGTGAGTGGATGCAAGCTAGAGAGAAAAAAAACAAGACATCCTATTGAATCCTGCGATATTGAATGAAGACAGAGGAATTGGGTGGAAAGAACTAAAATAAATGATTTGGAAGAACGACAAGGGCAAAGGAACTGAGATGTGAAAAGGTGGAATATGTCAGAAAATAGAAAAGTCTGGAGTGGGTTCCTATTGAAGAAGAAAGGACAGCTACTGGACAAAGAAGAAACACCATACCACGGTTATATTGACTGGATGGGAGGAACTGAGATAGAGGTCACTATTGTCCCCTTTCAGCCAGAACCATCACCCATGAAGCCATTATGTATACTGCATTAGAAGAGACTACAAACAATGAAGCCCAGAGTATCAGTCTGTGGATCCTAAGTAAAAGGCTGAAAGGACTAGAAGGCAACCTTGTGGGACTGCCACTACAGCTTTCATTAGCCCTGCCAGGGTAAGGCAATGAAAGGATTTGTTTGGAGAATGTGCCTCTCTGTTATTTTCCTCAGCTGGTCTTAGTGAGGTTTACGATTTGTTTGGCCAAAGTAGTGGTTCTGGGAACATTGCCCTTGGGTGGGAGTCTTAATGAATCTGAAGGGCATCAAGTTCTGAGAAAGCTTCTCTGCTGAACGATGCAAAGTAGGGCTCTGACACCAATTCATAAATTGCTGATTAGAAGAAACACCCATTTCAGAAAATGGGATCTATTTTTAGGCAGTGACAACGTCCTGAGAATCTTGGCTTGCAACATGAACTTCGTCACACAGTACAACTGTTTAATCTAGACATGTTTTCACAAAATAGTGAGGTTTTGAAATGATTACTTATTAAGGGAGGCAGGGAAGTTTCCCTGAAATGTTAAATCTGAGTACTTGTTTATTCCAGATGCTTTTTCCTTAGCTGTTCTGTTAATCAAATATGACAGTGGTCACAGGGCAGTTGATGGTAGTGTTATCTACATTAGATACTGTAATAAGTGCAGTATTTTTTTAAGTTTTTGAAAATGTCACGTGGAAATATATTGTTTTCTGACTCTGTCTGTATCTATTTTCAGAAACTGGCCTTTTGAACATGTCACGTTCACTTAGGGATTACTAACTACTTATATAACATTTAGATGCTATTTGTGACCAGAACTGTTGTCATATTTATCTGTCAAATTCATCTAGCCATCCATTTCACAACAAGTGACTCTAGATGGTATACAAGAAAGCAAAAAACAGTGAATTAATAAATACTAATTCATTATTATTATAATTATTAAAACATTTTAAAAAACAAGACAAAAAAGGACTATTATGTAAACACATATTAATAATACTAGAACCACCTTAATAATTTACCAGTCCTCTAGGGACCCCAGATCTGATGACACCACCAGGTTTTGAGGGACCTTTGGATGCATTTATAGTATAGGAAGTATAGACATGGCCATAATTGGGACTGGAACTTCCATTATTAAGTGAGTCAGACCTGATTTATGACTTTTTCCCATGGTCGTTATGTGAATCATAGTCATTAAGTGAATCTGGTTCCCCCATTGACTTTGCTTGTTGGAAGTCTGCAGGGAAAGACATAAATGGCAATCACCTGATCCCCACAATGCTGCAACCATCTTAAATCATAATTACATGCAAGTTGCCAAGGGCCCAAATTTGATCACATGATTTTAGTGATGGTCATAAGTACAAAGACCAGTCATAGATCACTTTTTTCAGCACCATAACTTTGAATGGTCGGTTAACTGAATGGTCATAAGTCAAGGACTACCTACAAAAAATAGTCCTGTCATTCACGTACTCTCCTTTTTACGACCCTATAGTCCAGACATGTCAAACTTGTGATGTCACGTGATTTCGCGCGATGTATCGGAACTTTTTCCCCATTGCCGGCAATGGGGTGGGCGCAGTTTCGGTGTGACGCGTCCGGCCCACAGGCCAGCAGTTTGACACCCCTGCTGTAGTCCCTATTCAGGGTAGAATTGGGGCGACTGGCTGGATTCTCCTTCTGATGCCTATGTGGAGTTCACAGCAAAAAAAATTTTTTTGAGTTCTAGGAAAGAAACATCTGCCACTACTTAGGATGGAACTCTCAACCTTCCGCGTGGGAGGTGAGCATCCTCAACTCTAGGCCATCGCTCAATTCACATTGCCATGCATACAAAATCATAAATTTATTTGGCATGCTAAAAAAATGTTTCAATAATCTTAGGAACTAGGAGACATCATAAAATGTTGCAAATGTTACTTTCCTGAGACAGAAATTTATTCATGGTTCAATTGTGCAAAGTCAACAGGAAGAATAGTTTTAAACCTTTTATCAGCTGTTCTTTAACAAAGTTTCATCACATAGTAGCAAGTGAAAAATCTCTTGATCTTTGTTTTTGGAGCATAGATCAGTGGCAGCCCTGCTTTATTTTCTTCCTCCAGTTTACTTTTCTGAGTCTCTAATTTACAAGGAGCTCATGCTGCATAAACCTTCAGATATTGAAGAACCTGACCCACACGTTCTTGTAAAGTGTCAAGCTTTTGGTAAAATACAGCAACTTCCCTTTGAGTGCTCTGCTGACAGTTCTTGAGCAGTTTATCATCCTTCTCATGTGAAGCTCCTTGGTTACAATCACAGGTTGTCCACTTCATTCTTTATCATACAAATCAACTCCTGATTTATCATCTTTACATTTTTTAGCCCAGAGATGCCCAGTACTTACATCAATACAGTCATCACCAGAAACAACCTGCATACGGTAATGAATTTCAATTGGAGGGACTCCTTTGGCAGTAAAAAATTCAATCACGGACCTTTGTTTAAAGCACACTGTTGAGTACCCACTGCAGACTTCCATTTCATGAACAATAGCAAAACAACCTTTTCTCACAGCAATTTCATGGCAATTGAAATAAAAGAACAGACAGTACTATTAAACACGTCAGAGCTTCCAATACATCAGTATTGCTATTTATTAGTGACCTATAACATTGGAGGCATTCCTTTTTATTCAATCCTCATTCTAAACCCGCTTTTATTAATCATAATGCAGCAATGCTTTATACTATGGAGAGATATAAAAGGAAGTACATTTACTAATTTATTTCTCATATTTATATGGCTGCCCATCTCACAGAAGGTGATTCTGGGTGACATATAATGAAAACAACTATTAAAACAGGATATAAAAACCAGTTAAATAATTAAATAATTTACATGAGTATAGGTAGTCCTTGACTTACAACTGTTTAGTGACTATTTGAAGTTACAATGGAACTCAGAAAAATGACTTATGACCAGTTTTCATACTTGTGACCATCACAGCATCCCTGTGGTCACATGATCAAAATTAGGACACTTGGCAACTGGCATGTATTTATGATGGTTACAGTTAGGGTTACCAGGTCTGCTTCCAAAAAATAGCGGACAAGCGGGGGGGGGGTGTTAAGTAGTAAAAAAAGTAGACTATACAGCTTTAGATTACGTACCATTTCATCATAAAGCTTTTGAATAAAAAAAATGTCCACTATTTTGTGAAAAAAAATAGTGAACATAATGTGAAAAAAGTGGACTGTCCGCTCAATAGTGGACACCTGGCAACCCTAGTTACAGTGTCCTGTGGTCATGTGATCACCTTTTGCCATCTTCTGACAAAGTTTAACATTTCTGTTGCTAAGCAAGAGAGTTGTTAAGTGAGTTTTGCCCCATTTTATAATCTTTCTTACCACAGTTGTTAAGTGAATCAATGCAGTTGTTAAGTTAGTAACTCAATGAATCTGGCTTCCCCATTGACTTTGATTGTAAGAATGTTGCAAAAGGTGATCACATGACATTGCAACTGTCATAAAAATGAGCCAGAAGCTAAGCATCTGAATTTTGATCATATGACCATAGTGGTACTGCAATGGTCTTAAGTGTGAAAAGCAGTCATGTCATTTTTTAGTCCCGCTGTAACTTCAAACAAATAGTTGTAAATCAAAGATTACTTGTATAAGACAGAATGTCTCCACAAACTGTTCCTAAAGTTATTTCAGAAAAATAGATGGTGGTATCTTTCCTGAGCAAACATATCTTGTATGCGTATCTGTTAAATCCAGCTATAATCTAGTGTATAAACTTGAAAACCTCCAATTATTGCTTTGTTTCTTCCTTTGTATGAAAACATTCTACACAGCAAACAAGCTATCTTTCATGAAGCTTCATCCCTTAAAAGCCCTACAATTATGCAAGTCCTCTGATTATTTCCAGGCATCCTAAAAATGCAGTCCTAAAATACAATATTCTGTATGAGCTACTGAACTATTCCACAAAAACTACGTAAAACTTAGAGGGAATCATTTTTTTCGTTGAGTTATTTCTTCCTTAGAATCAGCGAAGCAGATGACTCAGTGACTAAACAGTGGGTTCCTGGAAAGTTTATCTTTATTATTAAGGTTAGTTAAATAAGCATGGATACTCACTCTTTTTCTTGTTATTTATTTGCTTGCTTTGGGCTAAAAACCCAAATAATCGCTCATCTAAAGAAAGGGCTAAACAGTATTGGCTCCTAACTTACCACGTCACTAACTCCCTTTGTCAAAAATTCAACGAACAACGTACACTCTTCATACAAACCAATTTTTCACCCCAACGTGAAAAATTAAGCCTCCTATTTAAAGACGGGAATTTTTTTTTTTTTGAGAAAAATATCATGGAAAAATCCCACGCAGCCTCACTCCAGCTTGTGCGCAGAAGCGGGTTGCAGGGAGCATGCGCAGAAAGAGCTTATTCCCTGCGGAGGGGGGAAGCTTAGCCGTTCTTCAGAGTGCGCGGGCGCACGAGCGGCCGGGCGACAGGGCCCCTCCTCCTCTGGTTTGCCACTGGGTAACACCGCCGGCCCGTTGTCGCTCGGCTTCCTCCGCCTCCGCCCCCTCTTTGTCGCTTCCCAGAACCGGCGGGGGCAGCACCACTCAGGAGGGGCCCCTCCATCGCCCGCGGCATCACAAGGACGGGGAGTCGACATGCGGCAGGAGAGCTGCCGGCCTTGGCGATAGAAGGTGGGTTTCCGCCTCGCCCACCTTGATGGGCTGCCCGGGGCTTCTTCCTCCCTGGCTGTTCCCACCACTTTCTTCCCCCCCACCACCCACCCATCGCTGTTTCCTTCCAGCTCGTGCCCTCCTGGGTCTTCCTCTGGCTCCCAGGCTCCCCAGCCCGATGTCTGCGGGTTTAATGGGACTTCGCATCTGGCGGGTCCTGGACCTGCTGGCCGGGCGATTGGGAGCTGTACTCCGGCCCCCTAAGGAAGGATACTCGCCTGTTGCTCCTGCCTTGCCCTCCTTCCATCCCTCTTCCTCCGTCCCCCCCTTCGCGTCCCACCGAATGATGGGCTTATAGTTGCCTTCATTCACCTTCCCTCCTCTGACCTTGCCTTGGGAAGGTATTCTCCCCCCTCCCCCGGTCCTTTACCCTCGTACCCGTCTTGGGTCTCCCGATTTGCTCTTTTCTCAGGGTTACTACTCCCCGCAACGCAGGATTGAACTCGCCAGTTTGACCCTAAATATTGCGAAGCGCCTTTCTCCGCGTTAGAGTCACTTGGTCTTGAGCTCTCTCTCGCTCGCTCTCTCTCCCCCCCCCCCCCGCTTCTCCGCATCTACTTCTTCCCATCCTTTTGGAGTCCTTTCGCAGACTCCCTTTTTTCCATTTTGTTCTTGCACCATTAACTGGAAGGAGCCTCTGTTCTGAACCCGTTCAACTAAATCGTCTAAAATCATCTTCCTATGTTCCATCTAATTGGCATCAACAGAATAACAGAACAGAATAACAGAGTTGGAAGGGACCTTGGGGGATCTTCTAGTCTAACCCCCTGCTCAGGCAGGATAGCCTATTCCATTTCAGGCAAATAGTTGTCCAATCTCTTCTTAGTTCCTCTGTACCCTGATTAGCTGGCTTCATTCCTGCTGAACTCTACTCACCCTTTTGCCCTGGAATGCACCCTTCTTTTCCTTTCTAATTTTTCTTATAACACGGACTTAAACAATGTATTTTCACCTCCTTGCTTTATCTCGGAATTCTCATTTTATTCCTCTTTTTACTTCACTCTCTAAACTGCTACCCCACTTTTCTGTATTACTTGTTTTCCTTGCTTTGGATTTTCTACATGGTCCCTGAAATTCCTAGCTTTTTTGCAGCCAGGCATCTCAAGTTGGCATGATGTCTAGCTTCCTTTGCATGTTAAACTTTTTTTTTTTGTATTGTATTCACAAGTACTGGGGAAGAGGGCTGAGTCCCTGTGTTCAGCTCAAAATTCATCTTGTCATCTATCTTTGTCAAGTGGATGCATAGTAAATAGATTCCATGTTTTATTTGCTTTTTAATAATAGAGGAGCAATAATAAACAATTGTCTGTTGTGCATAAATAGGAAGAGGAAAAAACTGTTGCTTTTCAAGAATGGCTTATGATTTAGTCTGATAGTTCTGCTTGGATATCTAACTATAAATAATTTGTTTATGGCTTGCTGATAAATAGACAATTGTGGTATTACTTTGAAAGGAGCTTACTTTTCTTCAGTGTTCTTCTCCTTAGTTGCTTATAGAAGTCTATGTTAGCTTCAGATTGCCAACGGATTTAAAGAAGTAGTCCCCTGGTTAAAGAGAGTTCCTCTTGCAGCTTCAGAAAATGTTCCTTATTAATTTCTCTTTGATTTTTTTTTGTAATTTTTTATTGCTTTTAAAATGTTTATTTGCCTTTGAATTAGTGTAGGAAGATAGTTTTATATATTCTTTGAAGAACAAAACTATAGCTTTCATTTCTGAAAAACCTATATGTCAATACGCAGTAATAACTCAGTTCCATACATTCCTTAAGGATGTTGTGCTATATGATAGTTATTTTTAGTATCAGCTTTCTGTGTGTATTTATCAGCACAGAAGCGGATCCATGAAAATACCGTGAAATGCATAACAAAATGTATGGATGGAAGCTATTGTGTAACATTCTCTTTATTGTGCTTATTTTAATGACTTTAAAATAAACTTGTTTATTAAAATGATTGTTACCAATCTTGAGTCCCAGGAGAGAATGAGCTAGAAATTTAATAATTTTGTTCAGGTCACAAAATTAGCTATTTGATTTAGAGAGTAGCTTACTTTATATATACTGCTCAAAAAAATAAAGGGAACGCAAACTCCTTCAGTTTCATGTTAAAATGTTCCCTTTATTTTTTTCAGCAGTATATTTTTTGGCAATGTCTTCAAATTTGTACTCAGAATTCCAAGGGCTATATAAGCATATTGTTCAGAATCGCTTTAAGAAATTTGACAAACATTAGAGAGTAAGAATAGTCTTATATGCCCCCCATCTTATTTAGTAAAAATCTTGTTTTGATTTTGTAAATAAACCTAATCATTTTATTTCTCAACTGAAACTGAGTCTATGAATATATTAGCAATAGTGTAAAAGCATTGCTTGTTTTAGAATAGATGGTAGTAATTCTCTTTTTTCTTTGAAACAGATGTCTCAATGGTTCATAGTTCTTAAATGCTGAGGGCTATATCTCTTACTGTCTAACATCTTTTGTTTGTTCAAAATATTATCCTTCTCTCTTAATTGCAAGCAGCAAAACTAGCTAAGAAATTAAAATTCACTATAGCTTCCCATTTACATGAACTGGGAAATTGATAATTCCCTCTACTTTTAAGTAATCCAAGTAATCAGTTACTTATAACTTAAATGTTCTAAAACCATAAATAGAAAAGCTATAAAACAATCATGTTTAATTAATAGTGCAGAAAACATAAAAACTGCTGTTCCAGTGTAGTATTTTGGCTGGTTAGGGTATGCATAGAAGATAGATAAAATGGCTATGTGCAAGTATCTGAAGCTCATCTTTTTAAGAATTGTAATATTTCTATCTTACAGCCATCTGTACTTAAATATATTTTTATGTTAGTAACATGAAACTCCAGTTTTATTGATTTCATGTATAAATACTGCATTGAACGTCTTCTGGTAATTTTATATGTACACACATGCACCCATAGTAAGCATTTTGCATGTTTTAAACACTTAAAATAGAGTAACTATATCTCTTCCAGCTAAATAATGGTGGAAAAATGAATGGTGCCTCTAAACACATGAGATATTTTAACAAAATGGAAAGCTACTGCAGATAAAATATTCTCAGTGAATTCTTATTTTCAATTTTTAAGATCTCTTTGCTTACATCAGTGGAGTAAGAAACTAGGATGCTAGCTACATGATCTACAAACTCTTGATGAATATTATTGTTTCAACTGCAATATACCTATAACTGTTTTTTTTATTTTTAGATCTTATAGTACAAATTATTGGTAACCATGGTGCAGAAATACCAGTCTCCCGTGAGGGTGTATAAACACCCCTTTGAGCTAATTATGGCTGTAAGTATCTGTTTGTGTAATATAATCATGAATTGTATTGGCTCTGTTTATTGCTTGATTGGTTAATTAAGAAAAGATTAAGAAATATAATTGGCTTGAACATAGTTGCTATAAAGAAGTTGGTGTTTCTAACTAGTTCCAGTAATATATATATTCAGGATGGCATGTTCATTTCTGTTCTTTGACATGAATAGATGACTTCAAACAAATACCATGAACAAGATTAGAATAATATACAATACATGACTATTGAGGAAGTTGGTTGATTAAGTTATGTTATTATAAAAAAGCATTTGCAAGAAAATTTACTTGGTTTGGCATAATATCTTAATTATATTACTTTTGACTGCTTGGCTTTAGACAGATTGCTATCTGCTGATGAAAACAAACAGGGTGCTGTAAAATCATATTTTTCTCTCATTATTTAGGAAAGTAATTATTTTCTTTTTATTATAATTTTTATTATATTGCTGTATTTTTTTTAGAATCCAGAGATGTTCTGCATATCATAGTTTGGGATTGTAAAAAATATTTGGCATACAGTGGTTAAATGATGTGTGAAATAGCTATTCTGGAGCATCTGGTTCTGAGATTGTAAAATTGCTTACTTTTTTTCTGGTTTAGTTTGAAATATTCCTCCCTCCTCACTTGTAGGAGAGGGGGAAAAAAATCCTGTACCCTTTAAAAATCTCTTGCTCCTAAACCAGCAATATTATTGGCAGAATTGTTGTAGGAGGAACAGCATATCTGAAGGCGTTGGCAATAGCAAATAGGCACAGTGTGCTATGTAAAACAGTTACTTTGTGCTAAGGAAATACTGATAAAATGATATCAGTATTTAATATATCATTAAATGTTTTGTAATATATCATTGGCTACAAAACCTTCAAAACTAAAGTTTAGCAATAGAAAGAAGACTTAAAGATGTTATTAAAATACTGTATGTAGATTAACTTGGATATTCACTCTGGGTTGACTGTGTTATTAATCCATTATTGGGAGGGGACTGGTACTGCTGGCCTTTCAGTTGTTCAAAGCATCCCTCACCATTGGCCATATTGGAAGTTTTCAGCTGTTGCCCCTCTAGCTCATCTTTTTGTTTTACTGGTTTGTAAAATTACTATATTTATTTTCTGAATAAGTTTTGTAGGGATAGTATATTAATGCTTACAAATAGGGCTGAAAATACAGAAATTGAGATTTGGTTAAGGTTTTAAAAAGCATGAGTCAACACTGAAATACTTTCAGTTATTTTTGTCCATCGGAAGCTGATCATACATATAGGAGAAATTCACAAGATATAACAAAAAAGTTAAAAAGAGCTTCTTGCCACCCCCGTTCCTCAAGATAATTGAGCGCTGAGAGACAAAGTTGAACCAAAAATTGAGTGTTAATGCTAACAATTCTTGGGTACCACTGCCTTCTACTATGGCCACTAACTCAACTATGAAATATTTGATTCGATTAACATTGAATCAAATTGAATTGAATACTTTATTTGGCCAAATGATTAGACACACAAGGAATTTGTCTCTAGTACATATCTAGAGTTTGTCTCTGGTACATATTTGCCCTCTAGTCTAGAAGATTCTCATTGAAATACTCAAGTATATCGCCATTAAAAAGTTGAACGTTGGATCAAATGCATTAAAATGGTATTTCTGTGACAGGTGTAAAGCGATACATTCGGCTAGGAAAAATAAGGTGCAGGACAGGAGAAATCTGGTTTTGGAAGCATTGCAGGTGACAAGTTTCTAGGAATACTAGTGGACTTTTAGATGAACACAAACTAACTATGTGATGCAGTGGCTAAAGAAGGGTTCTATACAGATGACAGAAGATGATAGTTTTGTTGTAATCTATACTAGTTTGACCATACTTAAAGTACTGTATTCAGTTCTGGGTGTAATGTGAAAGGAAAATGAAACAGAGGGAACATGTGTTATGGCGATGATAAGGATTCTGAAAACCAAGACCTATATGGATTACCTAAAAGACCTGGGCATGTTTAGCTTCCCCCCCCCCCCAAAAAAAAGCTACATGACAACAATCCACAAATATTGAAAAGACTATCATGTGGGAGAGGTATCTATTCTCTGTTGAAACCAAGAGCAGGACAAGGTTCAGTGGGCTAAAGTAAAAGAAAGATTTGAACACTGGAGGAAAATTCCTGACAATAAAGATTGCTTTTCCTTGAAGTGAAGCTTTTAAAACCTCCATTTGAAAGTGGAGCTTTATGCTGGAGGTGGTTTAGTGGATTCTTGTATTAACAATGGGCCAAGATTAGATGAGCTATAATGTTCCTATATTCAGTGATTCTATATAAATTACAGTCTCTCTTGTAAAGTCCTGTTCTGGTACTATTTGTCTCTACGTGCAAATTGTCTATTGTGTTCTTCATTACTAGCAACTGTTCAATAACCTTTCTGTTATCTCAAATACATCTCTTTCAGTGATTGCTCTGATCAGTGATTTTGTTACATTTCCACTGTACATGTGAATAGAATTCAGAAAAACACACTATCTGTATCGAATGAATTCCACACTTTCCTGAACATTGAAGTGGTTTGCAGATGGCTTTAAAACTTTGTAAGAATATCTTCATTCATAGTTTGTGTATGCCAAATGTCAAACGCTGATGGCCAAATAGGTTTTTCCAAAGCTGTTTAAGCAGTTTTTTATGCAAATAATGCAATGGATTTTTTTAGTCTTGCAATATACCGTAAAGCATACAGAGTTCTGCTTAGCAGATACATTGGGGAAAACGTTGTTTTTTATTTATTTAACGCATCCAGCAAAAACGGATAAAGTAAATAATTCTGTGAAATATATATAGGGCCCCTAAATACTGAATTCTGAGTTCCCTGTCCTGAAAATACCTATTAATTCCATTTTGGATATTAAAACTTTAAAACATCTTAATCCATACCTAAGGATTTATAGTCAGAGTTGGTCAGGGATAAGCTTATAACTAAGCATGAAATAGGAAAAAATATGAAAAGAATAAAATTTCTCTGCACGATTCTTTTTAATAAAGTAAACATATTCAGTGAAATGGAACTTCAGAAAAGAAAATGCATTTAATTTTGATGAGCTACAAGATTGGCAATATTAATTGTACTGATTTTGATTTCTAGCATTCTGAAATACACCCAGAGTAGAAAACAGAGCAGGATCATATCATGATTATTATTTGCAACTGAAAATAGAAATAATATTTACTTGTCAATGATTGCTTAAAGTATATTGGTCTGTAATTAAACAAAAGTTCTCTTCCTTTCTTAGAAAAGCGAAGGCTTCACTTGATTGCTGTAGGCTGAAATATATAGGTCATAGCTATTGTTGCCTTATGTTATAGCTTAGTATTTTTTTTTAAGTTTGAAACATTCTAATTGAAATTCTTATTTAATACTAGCTGTACCCGGCCACGCGTTGCTGTGGCTCAGTCTGGTTAAATGAAAAAGAAAGAAAAGTGTTGCTTTTACCTCCAACAGATGGTGCTGTTTTTCAAAAAAGCATGTTTTTACCTGTCACAGGTGTGACATCTATATAATAGTAGGTATATAAAAACACGCGCGTATTCGAATGCAACGTTGTATCAAAATTTCAAAGCAATCGGTGAAGAACTTTCAGAGATTTAAGATTTTGAACAAACGAACATTTACATTTTTATTTATGTAGATATATAGATGATTTTTGTTCATTTGCAGTTTCAGGCACAATCTGGGATGGAATAAGAAGTTGAAAGTGCTTAGACTGAAATGCCTATAGTTCATAAATAGCTGTGTGATTCTAAAAATGATTCCTTCCTTCCTTCCATCCATCCATCCATCCATTTATATAACTGGCCAACTAGCACGTGCAACTCTGAATGGCTAACATTAGATTAAAAGCAGCAGACAAAAATATCAGAGAAAAAAATCTAAAAAAATATTAGCCACCTTATCTATAATTATCTCTCTAGATATCATTAGATGAACCCCTTAAAGTAGGGACATCTAATGGCTAAGGGAAAAACCAAATGTGTGACATCTTATAGAAGGTGACAGGCTTGCAGGCTTCTGGATTATGTGTTGGGTCCTCAATGAATTGGGTTAGGTTCATTGTGGCCATAAACTCCCAAGCCGCTGACTCTACACCCAGGGAAGGTAATTTGAAGTCCCTCAGTACTGTAAGTCTTAGGAAAATCACCATCAACCCAGTCCCAGGCTCCAGCAGTTCAGCCATGAAAGTCACTATGTTGGAGGAAGGCTAGCATAGCAGCGGCAATCCCATCTGATCCCAGGAGGCTTCGCACATAGGATATCCCTTCTGCTATCTGTAGAACAGTACCTTTGAAAACCCCAAGAGATTCCCAGATGACTAAGGTCATTCTGTTTCTCCTGCACAAGGCTGTGGCTTGAAAGCCAGTGGATAGTTACCCTATAGTTGTCCACTCAGCAATGTGAGCCACTGAGGATCCAGTGATAAGAGTATTGGGGCAGAGCTTGGGATCTGGAACACAGAATTAGTTTTAAGTATTAAGGGTGTCTTTCCAAGAACTTCCTGCTCTGTTTTCTTTTATACCTTCCACTGCCCATCGCTCCCATGATATTATTGTTTGCTCCTGGCAGACCACCTCTCCTTCCATTTTCTGGCATCCCTCTCCCAGGTCAAAGTACCCCTGCTAACGCTCAGATGACACAGCCATCTTAACCAAATGGCTAATCTAGTTCTCAAAATCTCTGGTCCCAGTCATTCAGCAATACCCCCTCCCATACACACACACACACACACACACACACACACACACACACAGATACACCCATACCACATTCCCGGTTCATGGGATAGCTGAAGGTATAGACAACCAGGCCCTCACTGCCATCTCTCATCTGGAAGGAGAGTGGACATCTCTATCTCAGTCACATCCAGTCCATCAGCACCATCTGTCAAAGTTGGCTGAGCCCTCAGTTTGGAAGTTTGTTTTCTTCTGCCAACAAAATTAGAAAAAACAGCTG